TCTCTCTCTCTCTCTCTCCCTACCTCTCTCTACCTCGCTGCATTCTCCTCTGTTAGTCGTGTGGGAAGCTCAGTGAATGCGGCTGCAGAAGGAGCCAGCATACTTATGCGCCTGACACGGATATACTGCTCTGTCTTACAGGAGGTGGGGGAACACACGCTCGCTCTCCTCTCCTCTAACTTTCCGTCTTTATCCCTGAATTGGATCATATATATTTTTTTTCTTTTATTAAGTGAGAGGGGGGTTTAAAATCCCCGCATTTCCTCGCCAAGTTTTATTTTTGCTGATATTTTTTGTGGACGGATGGGAGCGGGGGAACTCGCGGAGTTTCAAGCTCCTCACTTGCGCCGCAGCGGACCCAAAGGCTGAATAACTGCATTATTCATTTTTACGCACCGGTTTCTGTTGTCCTGAACTGTCTCTCTTATTTCTCTAGTGTCGCTTTTTCCTTTTCTCGTTCAGGAAAGGAGCCAAGAATTCGCCATCGCCTTTCTTTTTCTCAACTGACCTTTTTAATGCGCTCCCATCCGATGGAGACTGAAATAAGCTCCATTATTCTGCGGAGAAACTGATCTCTAAAGACATTAAATAACTGTTGTGCACGGGGCTAGGTCTAAAGACTGGATTTATGCTGCTTGGATGAAAAAAAAATGATACCCTGGTACGCGCATCCTGATGGGAGCGTTTTGGCTGCTTCTGCGCTCTGAACCATTCTCCCGGTGCGCAACTCCGCTCGAAACAAACCAGTATTTATTCATTGGACGGCTGGAGGTTGCTGAGCCGAGCTGAAGCCTGCAGACGCACAGTGTTGGGGACCCTCTCTTCCCCAGTTTCCCTGTCTCCCCTGCTCCTCCAGTTCCCCCCTAACAATGAATAAAAACTCTGAGAATGTCGGACTTATTTAACCGCATCACCGACCACCTTGCGCCTTTTTTCACGCCCTGGAGTCGCTGGACGCGCCGTCAAGATCTCTAAAAACTGTCTGCCTTTCCTTCTCTCCCTCTCTCTCTTGTTCTCTATCTGTCTTTTCACGTCTCTCTCTCTCTCCCCTCCTCTCTTTTTTTCTCTCACACTCTGTCTCCGCTGCAACCAAATGAATGCTCTCCCATGGAGGTAGTACAACCACCTTGGGGACCGAACGACCAGAGGGGTGATTTTTCTAAGCAAGAGGAGCCTGTCAGCAAGAGACGCATCGGGTGAAATCGGAGCCTCAGCCACCCTTCCCAACCCCCTCACCCCCCCGTCCATCTCCATCTCCTCCACTGCATCTCTCCTCCAGTTTGCTTGGCTGGGGTTGATAACACAGCACAGCCCTACATGGGGATATAGGGGCCCAGAGGAACCTTGTTGCGCCCCTGTCTGCGCTCTCACTTCGGCTGGGGAGGACCGTTCGCGCACGTCTCCATCCATGTCTCACCAGCGTTGCCCCGTGTCTCCAGAGGGAGCCGCATCCATCACCACCGCAGCTTTGGGTAGGTCCAATTTATTTGGATTCCTTCATGATGACCTGATTTTGTATATATGTACATTTAAAGAAATTCTGTATTTTCTATTTGGTGCCAAGTGTGTGGAGGAGAAATAGCTCTCTGAGATAAAGCCCAAACCCTCTCAATATGTCAGGAATGGGCAGAGTCCCAATTCCCTTTCCCCTCCTTTTGGTCTCACACTTGCTTTGCTAAATAACCTGCTTAGAGATGGTGCTGCTGCTGCTGGCTTCAAATGAGACCCCTATGAAAAAGAGAGCTGCAGCCGTTTGACTTTGATTATGTTGAATATGCTTTGAGGGGGAGATTATAGTCGTGCTGCCGTCTTAGACATTTTCCAAGATGATGCCTCACGTTTTGTATGTCAGAAAAAAGATGCAGAGATGTAGCAGTTCAGGGATATGAGTAATTTATAGAGCATATGGTACTTTTCCTGCAGTACTGAATGATCTGCATCAAGCGTTTGACAGAATGATTCATGATCAACAAGGCAAAGTCAAAGCCTGCAATGATACTACTAAAAAGTGCAAGGATTATAAATGGTCATTAGCATGGCTTTTTGCTTATGGTGTTTATGCAGTAATAAATAAATACAAAATAATATAATAAAATAATTAATGTATTTTCCTACAATGTAAGCAGTGTAAAATGTTACATATTGGAATTGCAGTATTATCACTGTCAAATATTCGCATTTTGATGGTTTGCTTTCTGTGTGTGTATGTGTGTGTGTGTACGCATGCATCTCTGGGCTTGTACGCCTGTGTGTGTGAATGCTTGTGCTGCATGCACCTGTCTTTTCTTCAAAGGTTACTAAATGGTTTTCTGGGGGAGGATTTCTAACCGGCGAGATGCTGCTCATACTCCTGCTGGCAGCCTTTTCTTCTTCTATCTCCGGCTCCCTCTCCTCCTCCCTCTCCTCCCCCTCCATGTCGGACGGACCCCCGATGGCGGACCCGTCCACCTCGGACCTGATGGCCGAGACCTGCAGCGCCTGCTCCTGCATGTCTGTGGAGAATGTGCTGTACGTCAATTGTGAGAAGATCACCGTCTACCGACCCACGCAGCTCATCCCACCGGCCTCGTCCCTTTACCACCTCAACTTCCAGAACAACTACTTAATCATACTTTACCCAAACTCATTCCTGAACTTCACCCACGCTGTGTCACTGCAGCTGGGGAACAATAAACTGCAGAACATTGAAGGTGGAGCATTCCTGGGGATGAGTGCATTGAAACAGCTGCACCTGAACAATAATGAGTTAAAAGTGCTACGAGCGGACACTTTCCAAGGGATAGAAAACTTGGAATACCTTCAGGCTGACTACAACTTGATAAAATATATTGAAAAGGGAGCATTTAACAAACTGCATAAGCTAAAAGTGCTGATCCTGAATGATAATCTTATACAGGCACTTCCTGACAACATATTTCGCTTTGCCTCACTCACCCACCTGGATATAAGGGGGAACAGGATCCAGAAGCTTCCCTATTTGGGTGTTCTGGAGCATATAGGGCGCATTGTAGAGCTGCAGCTGGACGACAACCCTTGGAACTGTACCTGTGATTTAGCACCTCTCAAAGCGTGGCTTGAAAACATGCCCTATAATATTTTCATTGGTGAGGCCATATGTGAAACACCAAGTGATTTGTATGGGAGGCTCCTGAAAGAAACCAACAAACAGGAGCTTTGTCCCATGGGAACAGGAAGTGACTTTGATGTAAGGATGCCACCTGCACCGCCAGAAAATGGCCCCTCCAAAATGTCCCCGACCACCGTGGCTCCCATGGCCACAAAATCGCCAAAAACCACAGACTCATCAAAGATATACGGTAATGGTATTGTGGCTGGTCTGCCCCCCTTTGGAAGAAATAGTCAGATAGTTTCCTTTCAGACACGGACCCCTCCATTGTTGTGCCCACAGCCCTGCAGTTGTAAAGCCCACCCATCTGACTTTGGCATTAGTGTCAGCTGCCAGGAGAGGAGTATTAAAAGTCTAGCTGATCTAAGTCCCAAACCCCCAAACGCCAAGAAACTTCACCTGAGTGGGAATTACATCCGTGACATAAGTCCAACAGATTTCCAAGGGTTTGAGGGCTTAGATTTGTTACACCTTGGCAGTAATCAAATTGTCACAGTCCAGAAAGGTGTGTTTGCTAACCTCACCAACCTGAGGAGACTGTATTTGAATGGAAACCAGCTTGAACAGTTACACCCAGAGATGTTTTTGGGCCTCACAAACCTACAATACCTATATTTGGAATACAATGCCATAAAAGAAATCTTAGCTGGCACATTTGACTCCATGCCGAACCTACAACTCCTGTATCTCAACAATAATGTGCTGCGGAGTCTTCCCGCTTACGTGTTTGCGGGTGTATCTTTAGCCAGACTGAATCTAAAAAACAATCACTTTATGACCCTACCAGTGAGCGGTGTCTTGGACCAGCTGCAGTCATTGACCCAAATAGACCTGGAAGGAAACCCATGGGAGTGTTCCTGTGATCTGGTCGCCCTCAAACTCTGGCTAGAGAAGCTAAGTGATGGAGTGGCTGCCAAAGAGGTGAAGTGTTCCTCCCCTGTGCAGTTCTCCAACAATGAGCTGCGCCTCTTGAAAAATGAGATACTATGTCCTAAGCTCATTGCAAGGCCGCCCTTTATTCAAACTAGCGCCACCCCTGTTTTGACCTCTGTGTCGCCTGCTGGAGTTGGCAAAGCACCACCGGGAGGACCTGTGCCTCTCTCGATTATGATCCTTAGCATCCTTGTAGTGCTTATTCTGACTGTGTTTGTGGCCTTCTGCCTTTTGGTCTTTGTCTTGAGGCGCAACAAAAAACCAGTGGGTAGGCAGGAGGGGCTAGGGAATCAGGAGTGTGGCTCTATGTCATTGCAGCTCCGCAGACACAACCATAAATCTGGCAAGAAAGGTTCTATCCCAGGAGACGACTTGGGAGGCGAGACATTCATCCCCCAGACCATTGAGCACATTGGCAAGAGCCACACCTGCGGAATCGGACGCTCCTCAGACATGGATGCTGGGTTCAAGTTTGCAGATTCACAGAGGCAGAAGATCATCTTCCGGAACACCAGTGATAAGGATAAAGATGCTCTCTCCACCCTGGAGCGCAACAAACGCCTCAGCACCATAGATGAACTGGAGGAGTTCCTTCCCAACCGAGAGCCCAGCATGTTCATTCAGAACTTCTTGGACAGCAAAAGAGATTTCAACAGCATAGGTATGGGTGGGTACGAAATCCGCTACCCGGAGAAAACGCTGGATAAAAAGATGAAGAAGTCGTCACTGATAGGCGGGAACCACAGTAAGATCGTGGTGGAGCAGAGAAAAAGTGAGTATTACGAGCTGAAAGCCAAGCTCCAAGGAACGCCTGATTACCTGCAGGTGCTCGAGGAGCAGACTGCATTGAGTAAAATGTAGGGAATCCTGTGTTTGGTTTAGTGCATTGATTACACATACACAAGGAATCAGACACATATACAGGCAGACAGACAGACAGCCAAACACACCTGCCTTTCTGTGGTTCTGTTTTCCCCTCAAGTCGCACACACACACACACACACGGACAAACACGGACACACACACACGGACAAACACGGACACACACACACACACACACACACACACACACACAGCAAAAAGTGCCTTCTGGAAATCCTTAATGACCAATGCAGAGATGGACAAAATGGCTTCACACTACAAAGCTATTACTAGAATCAGCGTGGATGATTTCCACAGTAAAAGACCTTTTGGATTATCCATGCCACTACATGTATGAATCCCACATACATACCACAGGACACCATAAAAAGCAACCAGACAGTCACAGTAATTTCAGCTGCTATTGAAATGGATACTTACCTTGTTATTTTTTTGTTGTTCTTGTTCATCTTTTTCTCCTCCTTTTGTTTTTTCAACCAAATCAAAGGGTCTTGAAAACAGTGCTTGAGAATATACCTCGCCGTCTTCAACCCTCATTTAAAAGAGAGGGAGAAAAAAAGGAGGCAGCAATGGCTGTTGTTCTTTTGCTCTGGAAAGTATCCAAAATCACTACTTCTGGGATGAGATTAACAGAATCAATGACTCAGTGGATGCTACTTTGCTTCTTCTTCCTTTTTTTTTTAATTTGCGAGGATATGTGTTTGTTCTTGGGGGTGCTCTCTGGAGTCGGCTGCAGACTCTCTGCCATCTTGTCTGGATTACACACCAGTAGCAGTACACCTGCTCTTTGCCGGAAGGCTAAACGGTTCCTGTTTACCATTCATGGGAAATAGAGGAACTGCAAAACTCTTTTGGGGAATGATTTTGTGACTAGTTTTCTTTGTGTAAAGAGCCATGTTAAATATAGTGTCTTCTGAATGGAGTTGTGTTCCTCTTCAAAATTGCTACTTAACAGTAACTGTATGTTTTGGGTGAAATCTAACGGCACATACACTGTCAGAGGACGTTGTTTCAGAAAAATGAAAAACCCAAGGATAAAAAAAAAGAATTACAAAGCTGCTTGCCATGTAAGCGTAACCTGGAATTTATTTTGTAAGTCTTACATTATTTGTATCTGTGGGACTGGTTTGTAAATTACAAGGAAAGATAAACATCTACACACACACAGACACACACACACACACACATGCTGTATGATGGAGCATCATCATCAAGAGACTTCAAGCCAGAATTGTCAAACAAACCGCTAATGTAATTCAATCAGTGATCCGCCTCCCCTTGTCAGCACTCAATTCGTAGTAAAAAAAATTTAACAACATAGTTAATTTATTTTTCTATGCAGGATTATTTAAAGAGTTATTGGTATTATTTCAAAAGAATAATACACAAAGAGTGGAAAGGACTTGATAGAACGATGCATCAGAGCTGATTCAGGCCACCAGAAGTGACTGTTGAGTTGATTCAAGGGTTTTTGTTTCTCTCAATTCACTGAAGAACTTGACCCAGTGGACGAGGGTTGTGACATGTGATCTGTGATGTTTCCTTTTCTATTGTGCCGCACTACAAACCGAGGCCTGGTAGAGTCTGTGACGTTTCAAGCAGTTTCCTTATTCTTATATCTCCCACGATATCTTGTTAAAGGTTTCTCATTAACATTATGCAACCAAAATAAATGTGCATTAAACTTGATATGGTTCTGGGGATTGCTGGGACGGGAATGGGTTGCAGTCAGAGGACAGGGAAGGCCACGAATTGAGGCTCTAAATTGTCTGATTTGGAAAGAATCATATCATAAAACACCATGTGCAATATTAGTAAAAATGCTCAGTCATGATGGCTTCAAATAATTTTGTTTAATTTATTTAGTTTGAGGTTATATTGTCAAGACAGGTTCTATTTCGAAATTCTTTTATCAACTTAACTCTATCCGGTCCTTATTTAAAAGTATTGTTAAGTTAAAATTATGAGTGTTTATTGACATTACAAATGAATAGAATGTATCTTGGAAAGTATAATAAATACAGTTTTCTATCAGTCATAAATCTCCTGTATATTGGTTAATTTTCTCTTGTATAATCATGTTGAAATCAAGGTATTAAAATCAGCACCTATTTGCACCGTGTCCCCCTATTTCTTTTAGTTTGCATCCTCTTAGATTTTCTAGGCTGCTTCACTTTTAAGGGAAAGCAAAAAAAAAAAAGCTTCTTCGAATGAAACTGCCAAATCTCCTTTTAATTCCCACTTTGAGTTTTTCACAGAACAAGTTGTCTAACAGCTCAGTGTTGGACAGACTACAGCCGAAGTGACAGAATGCAGTGCTTGTGTTGTGCGTGTACAAAAACTGGCTGCCCTTCAAGCATATTATGTGTTTGCCTAGTCTGTTTAGTTGGAGGAAACTGGCTGTGGAAGCAAGGGAACTGCTGCTTGTTACACTTAAGGCCATGAAACTGTCTTTGCCTTTCCCAATTTGGTTAAAACCACGTCATTAGAAATGGTGTGCACTGTTTTTAACTTTCTTTTCAAGACTTTAATTAAAGGTTCAGTTTGTTGTATTTAGGGAAATCTGTCAGCAAAAAGGAAATATAATATTCATAATAACATGAAATTTAAGAAGCAAGAAGCACAGAGTCTTTGCTACCTTAGAGTGAGACCTTTCCATCAGCATCAGGCCGTCTATAGCTGATTCTAACTATTTTTCCACAGTAGCACCGATTGGACAAAACAAACAGTGGCTGGAGTCTTTATGTCATCTGAAGGCCACTGTATATTCTGTTAGACGCCTTGAAGGGGAGGGTGAGGCCAGGGTGTATAACGTTCCTTGTCCTATGCCACTTCACTGCCAGATGCTCATAAATCCTGCACACTGAACCTTTAAGCCCTTTTTAATACCAAGTTTAAAAACACAATTTAAGGGTTGTGTGCTGGTTTGCACGTCAGCTCCCTAAAACTGTCATGAAAGTCAGATTTAAAGATGTGATGTAATTCTTCTTTCTCCACCGTTTCTTTGTCTTTTCCACTCTTTTGAATCCGTTTTTTTGCCATTGATCGTAACGTCTTTCCGGTTAAAATTATATTTTTAGGCACCTATCAAACATTCACGTCTAGAGGTAAAAAATTCAGATTTCCTCTTTCTGTGTAAATCCAACCTATATGGGGCTTTTGGGAAACCAAGGAGCAGAAAGTATGACTCATCCACACGCCAGAGAATTGTCCTCATTAATTATTAATACCCGTGGCAGCTATGAACTAAAAAGGGATGTGTGTGTGGGGGGGTCTGATATGTCCACCCTCTTCAAACACTCCCACTCTCTCCCTCTTCTCCATCATCCCTCACGCCGCTCTGTAATAGAGCAGAAATATCATTTTGGATAGGTTAAAAAAAGAAAGACTCAAATTGGCTGGAAAAGTGTCTTTTCTGTCCAACATTTTACTGCAGTGACTTGGCTCCGGAGCAGGGGCTCTGTTCCTGGAAGCTCCCGGGGTCCTTGAGGGGGCTTCCATGGCATCCCTAGAAAACAAAGAGGCAGTTGCTTTTCACTCTAGTTTAACTGACCCTGAATTAGTGGAGTGAAAAAAGCACAAAGAGCGAGATGCTTCTGTCTTTTCCCCCCTCTTCTCTCTGCTCTTATTATCCCGCCTGCTGCGGAGAAAGTTATGCAATTCGGTCCACAACTTTAAAAGAAGAAATCATCCCTGCTGTGGCTCCGAGTGTATTCTGATCTGATGCAGTGGCCTGCTGAAATGTGCCTCTTTCTTTTTTTCCCTTTTCTTTTGCGGTGGAATTGAAGTGGGCACCGTTTGAACCGACCTGCTGGTGAAGGAGGGTATGCTTTATGTATGATAGTGGCCACAAGGGGCACTGTGAGCTAAGAACACAGCAGAGAGTGAGGAGAGGTGTGACTGGACTGCAGGAGGATTCCTCCTTGTTACGAGAAAATAAATATATGTTCCATCAGTGCTGTTTGTGGTATTGACTTAACTTTGCTCTTTTTTCTGCACATTGAATTGAAATAAGAATCATTATTATTAAACTCTGACATATTAATTTCTAAGAGTGAGTAATAAGAGTAAATGCAAGCACTCAATATCTACTTGAAAAACAAGGGAAGTAGCAAAAAAGCAAATGTAGAAAAGAAAAGAAATGGAACTTAAGTGGTGACAAATCTGTGTATTGTAAAACAATGGTTTCTTTTTAATTGGTTGATTTAGAAAATATATATGATTTCTGTTTTAGTACAGTCATGGCTATGAGCTAAAACATGAAAATAAAAAAACAATGTACAGATTGTTATCTGTTTTATATCCACTTCTGTCTTAATCTACATGTATTTGTGCATGTACAAATATTCAACTTGCCAGTGGGTTACGATGCAAATGCACTGTTTTGTAATATCTCATGTTGATGTGTTGAATGTCAAACCACCCAAACAGCACTCAAAGGCAGCACGAACGACTCTCGAGGATCATCATGAGGATCATTCTAAATTGGATATTATTCATCCTTAGAAAGGATTGCAGTATTTTCACAATAACAAGGAAAAAGGTTTTAGTACACAGGTTTGATTCCTGTGAAAACCATACAGTTTATTTCCACGTTATCTGTGACAACAGTTTGCAGTTACATATACCTGTGTCTTTCATCTCTACATCTCCTCCCATTTTGTTTTACTGCACATCATTTCTTTTCAGGATGTTTCCTCTTTTTCATCTTAAACTTCATTTTCTCTCTTTTAGTCTCAGGTCAGCCCCTTGCCATGGGTCTCTCATTAAAAAGAAGAATGATCTATTCATGCGGTGTCTATAGTAGAAGTGATTACACCTCAAAAGCAGAAACCATTACAATGCTGCATTGATAACATTATTGGATTCCCTGCAGCATTTCTTTGTGTACTGTAAAAGAAAGGACAGCTGTCTGGCCTGTTTTGTTCCCAAACTGTTCCATGTTAATCCATGTAATGGATCATTCTGCCAAAAGGGAGGAACCAAGAGTTTTAAGAATTTACTGTGCACTTCCTGTACACTTGATTAAGAACACCGCAGTAATGTAACGTGTAGACCCAACCTGCCTTTTGTCAACAGTCCAGGTTGGTGATGGTGTGGTGGTGTGGGGAACATTCTCCTGAAACACATAGCGCCCATTTATACTAATCAGTCATGGTTAACATACTACAACTGATCTGGGTATCGCTGTTTGACTCTGGAAGTAAGCATTAAAAGATGGTAAAGTCTCAAACTGGTTTCATGAGCTCAGTGAGCTTCGGTGAACACAGTCACCAGATGTGCCTCCGATAGAACTTCTGGGATGTGGTAGAACAGGAGAATGGAAATAGTATCCACACCATTACATCATCAGAAGCAGCCTGGAATGTGAGACTATGCTTTTACAGTCCTCAACAGTCTGCAGCTTCAGATTTCTGATCTTGGTCAACAGTCTGACCATTCTCCCCTATCTCTCACCAACAAGGTGTTTAAGCCTGTAGAACTGCTGCTCACTAGATTATTCTTTGTTTTCACATCATTTTGAGTAAAAATCCTAGAGACTGTTATGATCCCAAGAGATCAGCAGTTCCAGAAAACCTCAAACCTCTGTTGTGACACCAACAGTTGTGCCACAGTCAGAGTCACTAAAATCAACCTTTTACCTCATCCTGATGTTTGACAGGAACAGTCACTGATCTGCTTGTGTTAATGCTGCCTTGTGATTGGCTGAGTGAATAACTGTATAAATAAGTAGGTATACAGGTGTTCCTAATAAAGTGTCCACTGAGTTTACAAAAAACTGTGATGAGATTCCAATCAAATGATGTCATATTCATTTCACCAGGGTTAGCCAACATTTAATTTGAAACATAATTTTGAATTTAGGCATGGAGTTAGAAAGACAGGGGCATTTGCCACACATGATCATCTTCATCATCAACACACACTATGGATCTAGTAAAACCCAGCTCTTTTAACAGTTGCATAACTGATCTTCATATGAAGTCAAATCTATGACTGCATGGAACAGTTTCAAATTTCTATGACACAGTAGGATGGTTTGCAAAATCTGTAGTGACTGGGCTGAAACATGTACAACCACCGATATGGTTCAAAATAAATGTTAGTATGGTTAAACAAGACATTGTTGCACAGCAAGCAATTGTAATAATGGTTCAAATGGTGGATCCAGCAAATCATTTATCACTGTCATACATCATCAGAGAATCAGAGTACCACATAAGAATTGATGTTTTGTCATGAAACATCCAGTTTCTAAGTTTTCCATCTTTCCTCAAGTCCTTTTTTTTTTTCATTTATGTGGTATTTGCTTCAATTTCACTGTGAATGTGTCCCTCTTTGACATCTTAAGCTTTGGTGACTCACATGTAGCAGTGCTGACCCATGTCTGCCAATTGAAAACAATGTGCTGAGGAATGCTACTGCGGCATTTTTGGCAAGTACCGAGGTCAGGCGGCGATTTAAGGAGGGATGAAAGGGGATGGCATCTCCCCAGTTACCACAAATTACTCGATGCATCCCCAATGAAGGGAAAACAATGCCTCGCCTCCCCAACAGCTGCCTCATTAAACATGGACAAATCCACCAGTGCTGCTCTGTTGTAGCTACTTGGCGGCCATTTCCACACATTTACCGATTCATGAAGGCCAACCATTAGAAATCTGCTGTCACCTGTCTGCTGAGGACATCACAGTCTCATGGAGTCAACTTGTGGAGTTTATTTGTGTTTGATTTGGATTTAAAACACATTACACACTATGTTATTGTACAGACAAATGTGTGCATGTTACATTGGGCCCTACAGTCATGAAAGTTAAACAACACTGTTCAAACTTTCAACACAGGCATGATATCTCTCCACAAGACATCAGCCAAATGCCCCTTTTTTATGACCTGACACGAATACAGGCACACATTACAGGACAGCCCTCCAGTGGAATTTTACAGCCCACACCGTTAATTTAATGTCATTTCTCATTCAAATTCAGTTTTTTGAATACATCTTCTTTTGCACCAGCCTGTTGTGAAAAGGAAAATGAGTTCCTGAACAAAATGTGATATCTACATTCTTAAATTACTGACACTGCTCTCATAAAAT